GATTTTTGATCCCCACTGTGAGGGCGAGGGGTACAGTTCAGCAGCACAGTGCCTGCCTGGCAAGCAAGTAGGTCCTGAGTTTGATTCCCAGTATCAAAAAAAAGATCCCCACCAAGAGATATTATGAGGGTAGAAACTTTTCCCCACCATGGCATTCAGTGATGACTGACACAGACAAGGTCCTCAGGGTAGGATCCTATGACTGAATACTAGTGGCTTCTAAGAAAAAAATGGGCCAGGAGTGGGGTACATGCCTGTAGTCTCAGTACTCTGGAGGCTGAGGCAGGAGGATCACTGTGAATTGACTTTTTTGAGGCAACTCTGGTCTATAAAGATCTTTTCTAAAACAAAGAAAGAAAAGGGGAGGAGGAGAAGGTGACGGGGAGACACCAGAGGGACACACATACTCCTGTCTCTGGCCAGGTGAAGCCCCACACCATCTCAGGACTCTGCCAGCAAGATGTCTGTCCCCAGATATGGCCTCTTGCTTTCCAATCACAACTGTGAGCTAAAACAAACCTTACTTTATAAATGTTTCTGCTTCTGGTATTTTGTTACAGCAATACAAAACAGACTAACCCACAGAACTGTAGGCAGAAGCTGGAGGGGGACCCTAATGGCCTCAGAAGAGGGCCTTTCCCCGAAGGCAAAAGGCCTGACAGGACGCCAGCAATCTAAGACACCACCATGCCAGGGCGCTCGGGTAACTGTGGGTGGCTGTCCTGGGGCGGGCTGCATTCTGGACCCAGCAAGTGCAGATCCCAGCCTTGTGGACCAGCAGGAGCCTTCGTGGGGCCCACTCTGCACCAGGCAGCTCCCCACTCATGAGAACCATGCTCTGCAGAACTGGCATTGGGTTGCCCGGCTTTGCCTTTAGACACCAATGCCAGGGGCTGGGGTGCGAACGCGTTTTGTAAGATTCCCAGGAGGAAGGGGGAAGGACAGCGCCATGGGCCCCTGGAAGGCAGGGCCTCGGTGGGGAGACTGAGCCGCGGGGCTGCCGCACTGAGGCGTCTGTGTGAGCAAGGGGCAGGGAGCGGACACACTATGGGTGAGTCGGACTCCAGGGTCACCACACATCACGCCCCATTTGGGACCTCAGTCATCTGCACAATAGCTGACAGAGCAGCCCCCAGAAAGTGGACAGGGCAGACGACTGGGCATGTTTCCTTCCCTTCGTGCCCAGGGCCAGCAGGGCACAGGCTGGTGCTGTGACCCTGCACGCTGCTCCTGCCCTCTGACCTTACCCACAGCCTGGCCGCCCCACAGCAAAGCATTTCCTGTGGGTGAGATAATTCTCAAATCCTCCCTATCGGAGAGATTTCATCTGCCCGGTGACATCACGGCTGAGAAGATGGTATCTCTCAGGAGGAGGAGGGGCGGGGGACAGCCACAGCTGGGAGGGGGTGGCAAGTGGCCAGGCCAGATACTCCCCAAGGGAAGCTGGGGTCAAGGTAGGGCACTGGAAATGCCCCAAGCATCACCAAGTGTCCAGAGGCATCTCATGAGACCAGGGCACCCAGCCAGGGTCGGGGACAGGGAGCTGGGGTGGGATGTGAGGACGGCGGCCGTTGAGTCAGCAGCGCGGTAGACGGTGCTGCTCTCCAGGACTTCAGGCTCAAGCCCGCAGCGCCTCACCCTTCCCTCTCTTGACCACAGGAAACGCAGGTATCAGTGGGCTGCAAGCTGGCGGGAACACACCTGGCTCTCACCGCAGCACTGCGTGGCGGGCCGCAAGGACCCACGCTTGGCAGGGATAGAAACTGAGGCAGGTGGGTGAAGCAGCTTACCCAGCTCACACAGTGCTGGGCAGCAGAGCTGAAGTTCCCAGCAGCCTGCCCCCAAAGCCCACAGGGTCAGCCTCGCACCCTGACTGGGTTACACTCGGCTCGGTACACAGAGCCTTTCGGTCCCAAGAAAAACTCCTCAGGGGCTCCGTCAGCTGAAGGTACATTCCACAGACTCCAGCAGCACCCCCAAAAGCCCCCCGACCCACATCTTCCCCGTGCTGAAGCCCGGAGCTTGTCCTGGTGCCCCAGGGAAAGGTCAGTAGAAGGTCTGCACTGGAGGAGGCCCTGTGAACGATCAGGGTTCATAGATTCAGGAACTGAGGCCAGGCAGAGGGACCTGCCCGGGCACAGAGCTGGCCAAGGCAGCATGAGGCCGTCCTGACTTTGCTGGTCCCCTTTCTTACCCTAAGATGCCACATCTGACTAAGTAAGTGTCTACTGGCACCATCACCATAGGTTACCTGACATGGGAACATGGCACAAAGCTAGGTACCCCCAAGTTCTCAGCAAGGGATGCATTTTGCCTCCTGGGCTGTTTGGGCTCCAAAGAGGCCCTGAAAGCTCTCTCTGAACCCAATCCCTCCCTGGACAGGCAGGACCATGGTCTCACCAGGCTCTTCAGTCCCCTGTGTCAGCAGCTGCAAAGAGAGGCCAGAAGCCAGGTGTGGCTTTGGACCGAGAAAAGAAGGCCCCACCCACCTCTTACAGTGGTCCTTGCTAGGGACACTAAGGGCATCCATGGCCTTCAAAGTCAGCTGGACTTGGGTTAAGAATCCCATTCCTGGGGCTGGGGATTTAGCTCAGCGGCATAAGCGTCTGCCTTGCAAGCAGGCGGTCGTGAGTTCGATCCCTGGTACCGACAAAAACCGAAAAAGACAAAAAAAAAAAAAGAATCCCATTCCTGCCACTTCCCGCTGTGTGGATCGGCTATAACAAAAACAGGCATTCCTATCTTGACTTAAACAGTATTCTGTTAATACAATACCGGGTCACTGTTCATTCCCAGAGATACACATCTATCTACACAAAGAGACCTAGGTATCAACCATCTCTTAATCACACAACAAACTAGCACCACCATGGCGGTCACCACCTACCTGGCGCTGCCACCCTGAATCCTCACTACAGTCTGGGAGGCCAACACACTCCATTCCCTCCTTCCAGACAGGACACAAGGTCCACCAGCAGGGCCCACTGCCTGCTGGCTCCCTGACACTTCTGCAGCTCCAGGAATCTGAACTCCCTCCCTGTCCCCGCCAGGGAGGTCACCTCCCAGGCAGCCCCCACCTGGCCCTAAGCCCCAAGCCCTCCATCCCGGGGACAAAGGCCCAACCTAGTATCCAGGCCAGTTGTGTTGGGGAACCCCTGCTGCCTACAAAAATCAGTTGACTTTGAAAAGGAAGAGACAGAAGCTGGGGGGCTGGGCCACTCCCTTGGGGGCAGGTGCTAAGTAACTCTATAAACTCTGGCTAATAATGCAATTAGGGCCATAAACAGAGCCCCGGGAGAGACCAGGGGCAGGTGCGAGACCCCTGCCCCAGGCTTCCAGGAAACAGGCTGAGCAGGCAGGTGGGCTTCTGCCTCCCTGGCCCCTGGGACTGTGCATCCCCAGGCCTTCAGCCCTCCAAAGCCCTTCTGGCTCTCCTAGGATTCAGGGTCTGTCCCCAGCTCCATCCCCTCACCCTTCCAAGGCACCCGGAACCAAGACTGGGTCTGCGTTTGGCTCCAGCTCCAGGTCTGGTTAGGGACAAAACAACTCGCAGCTGTGGGCTGTATACACTATGCAAGCTGGCTCCCCTCCGGGAAACGGCTTTACACACTCACCCCAAAGAGCCGGCCCTGCCAAGCCCTCTTCTGAGTCCCAGCCCTCCTGCTTCAGCAGCCAGCAGGCAGCAGAAAGAAGGCTCCCAGTGAGTCACTAGCTTCCCCCAGGGACGGGGAGACTGAGGCATGGGAGCCCCTCCGACTACCAGGCAGTGCCCCCAAGGCGGCCCACTCTCCCCTTCACGCCTCTGCGGGCCAGCAGCAAGGCTGGCTGTCACTCCGCAGACGAGCTCCCCCCGGGCAGGGCCCGGGGTGCGTCCCGCCCTGACCCTGGGTCTGTCTGGAGGGGCTGGGCCAAAGAGCCGGGCCTGCGCCCGCCGCCCTGGAGGACACCAGGGCCTGCCCCTCCTCACCCCAACGATCCGGGAGTGGGGCCTGGGTAGCTGGAATCCGGCCGGGCGGGTGCAGGGGCCCGGGGCCGCGCCCCAGAGGCCTTGTCCCCGGCCGGATCGAGCGCGCCCTGTGGAGCGGGAGCCGCAGGTCATGAGCCGACACTTCGCGGGGAGCAAGCGTGACGCCGGAGCGCAGCGCTCAAGTTTAGTCCAGAAACTGTCGGCGCGGAACCAAGCCCGGCACGGACCGGCGCGGACGGCGGGGCCCGGCAGGGCGGGGCCGGGCCGGGGCGGGGCCCGGACCCCCCTTCCTCCGGGCCGCGCAAGGCGGCTGCGGCGCGAACCTGCTCGCGCAGCCCGGGGCGGCTCGGGGCAGCCGTGCGTAAACCCGGGCCCGGGCGGGAAGGGGGAGGCGGGGACCCAGGCGGCCTCGGCCCGATCCGGGGAGGAACCGCGGCCCGGCGAGAGCTCCGAGGTCGCCAGGGGGGCGCGGTGGGGGCGCCCGGGTGGACGGCGCGGCTCGGGCCCTGGAGGGGGCGCGCTTTGCTGGACTCAGGGTCGCGATCGAGGGGCTTGAGTGGGATGGGGGGCCGGGAGCCCCGACAGAGGTCAGAAGAGGGGCGCGCGGAGGGTGCGCTCCGGGGCCGGGGCTCCTGAGGTCCCGGGAGCCCCGAGGGGGAGAAAAGTCCGCGCCGGGGCGCAGGGCTGGGGGGGCCTCTCGGAGTTGGGACCGGTAGGGGGTCCCCAGCCCGCCCCGGGGCGTGGCCATCCAGCCCCGAGCCCCGCGGCCCGCGCGCTCCCTGTCCCCTCCCACGCGCCGCCCTCGCGGGTTACATAAGGGCGCGCGGCCGCCCCCGGCCCGGCCCGCAGGGGGAGGACAAGGCGGAGGCGAGAAGGGAGGAGGAGGGGCGCCGGCCGGGCGGATGCGGGGCGGCGGCGCGCTCCGCGCCCCCTCCACCCGCGCCCCCCCACCTGTCCCCGGGGCCGCGCACGGTGGCCGGGCCCGGCCTGGGGGGTCCTGGGCCCGGCGCGCGCCCTGGCCCAGCCCGCTCACCTCGCTCTGAAGGTCAATCCGTCCGCCGCCTGCGCCCCGTGGTTCCGGCAACTTCTCCCAAGTTCGGGTGCCCGACCCGCACACTGCGCGCGCCGCCCGTTCCCGGGCTTCTGGGGCTCCGCGCCACCAGAGAGGCCCAATCCCGGCAGCACGCCCTTCCCTTCCCGCTGCCGTCGGCGCCGCCGCTCCCTGTGTCCCGCCCGCCGCCGCCGCCGCCTCGGCTGTCACCTAGCCCCGCGCCGGGCGCCGGGCCTCCGGCTGTCACTGCGCGCCTACTTCCCGCCGCGCCCGGCAGAGGGCAGCACCCGCCCAGCGGCCCGCCCCGCCCACACCCGCGGTGCACGCAGGGGAGTGTAGTCCTCTCCGCCCTGCGCTAGGCACGTCGGGATTTGTAGTCCCATCCTGTGGCCCATGGGCTACAGAGACTGCGTTTGACTAAGAGGTTCTGTTCCACTTCTGCTCTTTTACAAGTTTTCTCTCTTCTCATTCAGTAATGTCGTGAACCACGACTCTGTTACCACCCATGGCCTGTCTGATCCCCAAGCAGGGACTTGCATGCCTCAGCATACCTTGTTTATCAGTGCTTAGGCTGGCGGTAAACCTGAGTTCCTCCTCTGGTTTCGGGGAAAAGTGCGGGACCCGGTGTCCTTTATCCCTGCCTTTTCATATAAGAGGTCAGGCTGTGAAATATAAATGCAGATAGAGCCTGCCACCCGCACACACAGGCCCTGCTGTGGGATCTTCACACACACACACACACACACACACACAGTTTCCTGGTGCCCCACTGCCATGTTCCTGGTCGAAATTTTTCTGATCGCCTTTCCTGTCACCTTCCCTTGTTGGAAAACAAGAATGCAAAGCCATAACCTCTGTTTCTGTTCCTTCTCTTTGTCTTTCCTCCCCTCCTCCTCCTCATCATTCTCCTCCTCCCTAGTATGCTGCTCCTGGTTTCTGAGGTTTTGAGAAGAAGCTCCTAAGGAGGACCTGAGCAGGACTCTTGCTGAGTCAGTTAGAACAAGAGATTTCTGTATGAATGCAAATCTCTCTCATTGCCTCTGTCTCCGTCTGTCTCTGTCTCTTTCTCTCCCTCTGCTATCCACAGATGAGGGCCAGACATCCTTGAAACACAAGTCCTTGGACCTAGGTGTCTGGGTCAGAGTGCAGTGAGCCTCCCTCAGCCCTGGCCTTCTGAAGCTCTCCTGCACCTGGTTTCTGGCAACATCTTTCCTCTCCAAAGACCCTGTGTCTGTGCCAAACACATAAAGGCACGTAGCATTCTTCAGGAAATCCCAGCCCAAACTGGTGACTAGTGAGGGTACAGACTCTTGTCTCCAGTGCTCTATAAGTGGACACAAATGTCCTGGTGGAGTCTGACAGAGTAGGTGGGCAGAGCATTTCAGTTAAGTGGGGTCCTTTTCCACCACAACCCCCCTGCCATGCTATTACCCTGCCTTGCCTTTCCGCAGGGGAGCAGAGAGCACACACCAAGCTCTAAGAGGTACGGGGCCACCCCGACACTGTGCCCACCACAGGGAAACTCCCAGCCACGAGAATTGTCCTGACTCTCACCAACCCTGTCCCCGGGCCCCTAACTCCCCTCCAAAAACTATACACTGGTCAACCAATGTGGAGAACTATTTATTAAGAGAGAAAGTTCAGGGTCCAGGAAAGGTGGGGGCTGAACCCAGGAAGGAGAGCCGCACAAGCTGGGGGCCCACGGGGGAAGGTATCCGGGGTCCAGGCAGCTCGTCTAGGCAGCAGTGGCGAAGCCCACCCTGTTGTTGGCCAAGTCGTAGACAGAGTAGTAGGACCTCAGGAAGACGTCTCCAAGGATCCAGACGGGCTCGCCACCCCCAGGGGACACATAGGTGCTCTCGAGCCCCACCATGCAGTAGTTTTCACCCTGCTCAACAGAAAGGCAGCTCTTGGTCACTGGCTGCCTCTCGAACTGGGCAGGGAACAAGTTCCGGGCTGGGAGGGCTGTGGGCCAGCTGATAGCCAGCACCCTGGCTGGGAGCAGATTTATTCTGCAGATGTTTGCAGGCTGCAGTGACCCTCGGCCACTCCCCACATGGGAACCTTCTCTTCCCCGCGTGTCCCCTCCTGATGGTCAGGCTTGGAGTCAGACCAACCTGCATTCCAACTTCAGCTTTGCCCAGAGGAGCTGTGCCGGGGGGCTCAGTTACTTCACCTCTCTGAAGCCCTGGGGTTTCATCTGCACCCTCTTCCCACCCCAGGGGCCGGGACTTACACTGAGGATGTAGGCTGATGGCGACAGAGGGAACTCCACGCCACTGATGACGAAGGTCAGGGTGGGGAGGTCCTGGATGCTGCTGCAGCTCACGAAATACTGCAGGGAAGAACAGGCCCAGGTCACTTTATAGACCCAGGAGCACCCACCAAGCCCACCTCAGCACCCCAACCCAAGCCCTGATTGTGCATGGTGCCTTGAGGACAATCCTACACAGATAACCTGGATACACAAGTGGGGTTCTGTACAGGGGCATGGAATGAGGGGAGCCCTGAGGATCTGCTCCGCCCCAAAATGTTCCTGAATTTCTCCTCTGAGAGGCTGAATCACTGTACAGAACTGAAGCCAGTGTTCTGGTGCACACCCGTAATCCCAGCACTTTTGAGGCCGAGGCAGGAGGACCACCATTTTGGTAGCCTGGATATATATTGAGTTCAAGGCCAGACTGGACCACACAGCAAGACCTCCTCTCAAAAACAAACAAAGCAAAACAAAAGTACTGTACAGATCTGAGCTGGGTATCGTGGTGCATACCTGTAATCTCAGCACTCAGGAGGCTGAGGCAGGAAGATCGCCAGCCTGAGCTACATAGTCAGTTCAAGGGTAGCTTAAACTACATAGCAAAACCCTATCTTTAAAAAAAAATAAATTGGGGCTGGGGATTTAGCTCAGCGGCATAAGCATCTGCCTTGCAAGCAGGCAGTCGTGAGTTCGATCCCCGGTACCGACAAAAAGGAAAAAGACAAAATAAATAAATAAAAAATAAACTGCAGATCTGGCCGGCCATGATGGCATTCGCCTGTCATCCCAGTGCTCAGGAGGCTGAGGCAGGAGTTTAAGCCCAGCCTGGGCTGCAAAATGAGTTCAAGTCCAGTCTGAACTACATAGTGAAACTTTATCTCAAGAAAGACAAAAAAAAAAAAAAAAAAAAAAAAAAAAAACAACCAAATGGCCCATGGCTCCCCTAAAGTGGGTGGGGGTTGCAGTAAGGGAGCAGATGCCTGCTCTGTGGGACTCGGGGGCAGGTGTGGGTCTGTGGAGGTGTTGGGGAGGTGTGGGGGAGGGGGGAACATGTTAAGAGGTGTGTCCCACGTCACTCACCTCCTGCACCCCACATTTCCGCTACTTTGCCTTCACCCCAAAGTCCAGCAACATTCATTCAGCACCAAGGTGCCTGGCAGGAGCCTCTTGTGCCCCAATACTAGCATCTGGCCCACCCCAACAGGGACCCGGTACCCCAGGTTCCCCCATCTCCAGAGCACGGGTACCTGGGACCACCAGCGTGAAGAATGAGGCTGCTCTTGTGTCCCCAGCAGAAACCCTAAATGCCTCTGAGCGCCCCCTGCCCCCTCCCCCACAAAACAGGTCATCCCCAGACGCACCTCTCCGTATTCGTTCTCCTCGGCCCCTATGGCCTGGACCAGGGTGCTCAGGTAGTCCGAGGGCACGGTGAGCAGGGAGGTGCCTGTGTCCACAATACCCTGGCAGCCTCGGGAGCACCAGCCGGAGGCTGAGCCGTCAATGAGGAAGCTGGATGGAGGGCAGACGGCAGCCTCAGGTCCACCTGCCAGGGCGGCGGGGCAGGCAGCCCACCACCAAGAGCCCCGGCTCCAGCCCCAGCTAGGGGGGCTAGGATCCTGCACAGACCATCCCCCTGGCCCTGTCTCAAGTCCCGGAGGCTACCGAGGCCACCTAGAGTTAGTTTTCAAAAGTGGGCCAGGCTTGGGGGCACTCACTGTCATCCCAGCCCTCAGGAGGCTGAGGCAGGAGGATCAGGCCAACCCTGGGCTACGTAGTGTGTTCAAAACCAGCCTTACTACATAGTGAGACTACACAGTGAGACCCTGTCTCCGAAGACAACACAACGCAAAACCCCAGAAAACAAAAGCTTCAAGCTGCAAACCAACGCCTCCGATTCATTATAAGACCTTGAACAAATCAGTCCCCCAACTTTCAGCTTCTCACGTGGGCCCGGTGCCCTAGCGGCACCACATCACCCCTGCCCACCCCATCCTCCCAGCCAAGCTGGGCTCTGGGGCTCCCCTCTGTGTCCCTGCGAGTCCTCTGTATCCTCTATGCCCTCCCCGTCCCCAGCAGTGCCGATGCCCACTCCAAGGAGGACCGCGTCCCAGCCACTGCAGACTCACCCCTCAATGCCAATCTGCCAGTACAGCTCCTGGGTGACGGGTGTCCAGTAGATGTCCCCTGTGTACAGGCTCTCGTCCACACCGCCCAAGATGAGCTGGCCCTCATCAGAACCCTGCTGGCTGCAGGGACAGGGTGGGGCAGTCAGGGAGAGGCAGTCATGTGCAAGGGACTCAGGGCTCCTTCCCGCTTCCCAGGGGGTCCCCATGGGGGACTGTGCCCCCTCAGACTGGGGCTGCCTGTCCAGGCCTCTCAGCACTCCAGTGCTCCAGGCTCCTGAATGTCACTGCTTCTGGGGAGCTGAAGGCGGGGACACTGTGCATCCTGGGGTCCCCACCCCACATCCTGTGCCTGTCATTTCATGCTGCTGTGAGCCCCTCAGTTCAGGAGGAGACAGAGCTAGCTCTGTGGGAGGGGAGGGAAGGCATTGGCATCTCTGTGCCCCGGGCAGCACTCCTACAGGTTAGGAGCAGGGCCACTGCAAACAGAGGCACGGGTGACAATGTTGAGAGTCCCTCCAGGAGGAGAGGAGGCCGGCTGGTGGCTACCTCTGAAGAGGAAGAAAGAAAGCGAGTCCCTTGGCACCGTGCGACCCGGCCTGCCTGTGTTCTCCAGCCCGGGCACTGGTGAGGGCTCAGTCCCCGACGTGGCCCTGGAGACTCCAGGACTGCGGGGGCCACAGATCAAAGGAGATGAAGCCGCAGATTACCACACAGAGAGGCAGGTGGCGGCGGGCGCGGCCAGAGCCGGCCCAGGAGCGCTGGGCCAGGGCAGGCTCAAAGTACAGAGGAAGTGGGGACCGGCCCAGGGCTGAGTGGCCGGACACCGCGTGGGGCGGGGCGGGACCACGTGCCACTGCTGGGAGGCCCGGGCCCCCAGCCCCAGCCTCCACCCCGGGGTGACTGGCACGTGGGTCGGGCGCTGGGGACACAGGGCGGCCGCTCACCTGCCCAGGTAGACGCTGAAGAGGGATTGGGAGAGGGCGCCCTCTCGCAGCAGCCCCTGCATGGCGGTGGTGGCGCCCCCTTCCGACAGGCCGGGGTAGCCCAGGCCGAGGATGCCGTCGAACTCAGCGTACACAAAATCGCTGCCTGGCTCTGTCTCACTGAGGCCAAACTCCTGCTTGGGGACCTGGATGTCTTGGATCTGGGGGTGGGGGGCACATGACAGAGGAGGTGACAAGCCTGATGGCACCCACCCCCTCCAGCCCATCTGGCAGAGCCCCTTCCAAGGCTGTTCTTCCTCTCCGTGGCGCAGCCCATTCTGTCTGTCTGTCTGTCTGTCTGTCTGTCTGCTGTTTTCTTGAGACAGGGTCTCGCTATGCAGTTCAGGCTGGCCTTGAGCTCACTATGTGGCCCAAGCTGGCCTCAGACTCACAGCAGTCCTGCTCTTGAGTGCTGGGACAGCGGGGCATACCGCCATGCCCCATCTGGTTATTTTCGGAGACAGGTCCCACTGTGTAGCCCACGCTCGGATTCTCCATCCTCCTGCCTCAGCCTCCTGAGTGCTGCCCTTACAGGTGATGCCACACCTGGCAGCCCCGCCCTTTCTTAAGGGAGCTCCCTCTTCCACCTGGCCTTCCCTGCCTGCCTCAGGGCCATGCCTCCGTCTCCTTCCCCCCGGAACCTCCAGATTCAAGCTTGTGAAAGGAAACGACCACATCAGCCACTTCTTCACGGTGTCCCCAGGGCCAGGCCCAAAGTGGCCCTCAGAGTGTGAGAGCAGTGTGGCCTTGTCACACCATCTTCCTGTCCATGGCATTTCAGGGGCTCCCTGAGGCCCAGTCCCCACGCAGCCCTGTCGCACTCACGGTCATGGTATCATAGCCAAAGACGCCGGTGAGGCTCCCAGTGCCGTACTCCAGGGAGAAGGACTGGTCAGTGGCGACGTAGGTGGAGGAATCTCTGGGGTTGAAGCGGGTGTGAGTGGCTGTGGGCAGCGGGGTATAAGTTCAGGTGCTGGCGCTCTCAGGCATGCTGGTGTCCCCTCCTTCTCCTCAGTGGTCCCTCCCGGGCTACCAAGTCAGGGGGTAGCTGGGGTTCCCACATCAGATGAGGGGCCAGGCCGGCTTACAGAGCCTGGGACTCTTGGGCTGGATGCCCTGGACTCAGGGCCTGTGTCCCTGACCCCAGCAGACTCCTGATAAACTGCGCACACCCTGAAGGAGGGATCGGGCCTCAGGGTGTCCCCTCACCCCCCACTCTGCATCCAGCAAGAAGCTGGGTCCCCATATTTCATGGGCTGTGCCCAAGGAGGGGCCTTATACCAGAGATGTCAGAACCCAGACCCCAAGGCCCTGCAGGGGCAGCACAGAAGCGGCCACCATCTGTCTTGAAAGCCACAACAGGACAGGACCAGTGCTGTTCTGTTCTCTGAAGACACTCAGGGAATTAAGCAGAGGCATGGAATGGGTGGCTGCCTCAGGGGCACAGCAGAGTGGCACAGAAATTATCTACAAGGAACCAAGTGGCCTCGTGGGTGGATGAGGTGGCCGGCATCCATACCGGGATCCATAGTGGTCAGCACACGTCCCAGTCCTCCTGGGAGTGGGACCCCGCCCAGCATACCCACGGGGTACTCACTGCAGGCCAGGCTGCTGCAGTAGACAGATGGCACCCACAGGTTGGAGGAGCCGGTGTCGAACAGGACCTGGAAGCTCTGGGGTGGTGTCCCGAGGCTGATCTGGCCAAAGTAGGCAGCCTGGGAACCACAGAGTGGCTGTCAGCTCCTGAGCAACCCGGGACCCAGGCAGCTTCGCAGGTGGAACAATTGAGGGAGCCTGCATGAAACCTGGGTCCCCCCTGAGTCTCCCTCTGCACCCACTGGGGATGGCCATGGGGGCTCTGGGGGTTCGGCCACAGGCAGCCAGAGAGCGGCCACAAGCTGCGGGCTGGAAGGCAGAGACAGGGACACCCGGGAGGGTGAGGACTCACATCCATGTAGGACATGGGCTCATACAACACGCTGAAGTCCCCAGTCTTGGCCAAGCGGTTCCTGAAGAACTTGCGGGCATGCTGCGGCTTGTGGTTCTTCAGGAAGTCCCCCAGCAGGCCCTTCTCCCGCAGGACTTCCCGGATAGACTTGATCTTCTTCAGGGGGACCCTGCGGCGGCGGCCATGTGTCAGGGCGCCCCTCCCCTTCCTTTTCTCTGTGTCCATCTCCAGCCATGGGCTGCCACCTCTCTGCCACTCCGTGCCCTCTGCCTCTCTTTCCTCCCCTCTCCTCTCACTTGCAAAGATCTCTGTGATGGCTCCAAGATTTAGAAGATTTAGAGAGCCGTGTCCTTCTCCTGTGCCTACCTTGCCCCATCCCCAGCCCCCCGCATCCTCTGATACCCTATAAGTTCCTTCCCAGAAGGGGTTTTGGACATTCTGCAGCTTTTCAGAATAAATATCTTTTCTTCTTCTTCTTCTTCTTTTTTGGTACTGGGGTTCGAACTCTTGACCTTGCAGTTGCCAGGCAGGTGCTTACACTGCTAAGCTAAATCCTCAGCATTATCTTATTTATGTATTTACTTATTTATTTTGAGACAAGGCCTTGCCATGTAGCCCAGGCCAAGCTCAAACTTATGGCAATCCTCCTGCCTCAGCCTCCTGAGGGCTGGGATTACAGGCATGGACTGCCACATCCAGCTCAGGATAAGTGTGTTTTTCTATGTTTTTTTTTTTTTTTTTTTTTTTTTTTTTTTTTTTTTTTTTTTTGTCTTTATCAGTACCAGCGATCGAACTCACGACTGCCTGCTTGCAAGGCAGGCGCTTATGACACTGAGCTAAATCCCCAGCCCCAGGATAAGTGTGTTTTGTTTTGTTTTGTTTTGTTTTGTTTTTTGAGACAGAGTCTCACTCTGTAGCCAGACTGGCTTCAAACTAGCAATCCTCCTGCCTCGGCCTCCTGAATGCTAAGATGACAGGCATGTCCAGCTACCAGGAAAAGTGTGCATTTGAAAAAAAAAAAAACAATTCTCAAAGATGGCAAAGTTCACCCCCAAAGATTGCCCCTTGCTCCTGTGGCCTCTGGCACTGGTGCCAGCTAATGTGACCTGGGCTGGAGTAAGGGGGACAGCACTTGTTCTGTCCCTGCTGTGAACCTATGGCCTGGGACTGTTGCTTCGCTTCTCAGGCTGCCGTGTCCACTGGGAAGGTGGCCTGGGAGCTCCAGAGTGGCCACCTTTGAGTCCTGGCCTCTGCCCATGTCCCCGAGGGCTCCGTCTCCGGAGGCTGGTCTCCCTCCCAGCCCAGTGGCTGTCATCACCCGGCCCTACTCCAGGACCCATGATTCTCCATGCTTTTTATCTTCGCCCACCGTACTCCAGATTCTCCCACAGGTTCCAACAGTTTTAAGCTAAACCCTTCCCTCAAGCTGTGAAGACTGCGACTGGCTTGGTGCCAGCCACTTCTGCCGAATTTGCCTAGCAGGTGACATTTCTGCCGGCAGCCGGTTGTTCAGCTAAGGAATCGCCACCTTTCCTGGGTGTCTGTGGGTCCCATGAGCCCCTACAGGTGCCAAGATCTGGATGCTCAAGGTGGCAGATGTGCCCAGCTGTGTCATCCGTGCCCTCCCACACCTGTGCATACTGGGAGTCAACTCTAGGTTAAACACCCGCTACAGTCCCAGCCCTCGGAAGTACTCATGACCCTCCAGGCACGGTGGTGCATGCCTGTAATCCCAGGGCTCAGGAGGCTGAGGCAGAAAGCTCGCCCATGAGTTTGAAGCAAGCCAGTTTGAGGACTGCCTAAACTACATAGCAAGACCTTGTCTCAAAAAAACCCAAAAAATGAAAACAAAAAATACCACTCCTAACATTGCATTGTTTAGGGGATAATGACCCCAAAGTGTGTACATGTTCAATGACATGCCAGCTTTTTTCAGTCTGAGGCTGACTGTGTGGCTGGAGGCAGAACCCACAGATACCAGAGGCCATGGTGGAGCAGGAGGCAGGTGGCAGGAGCCCTCCTGATGGCCCAGCCATGCCAGCTCAGGTATCTGCCTGACACTTCACAACGTGGAGATGCACATTGGCTTGTGGTTCTGCCTACATAATTTGGGCATTTGCTGGTAATTTGAGGCCTCTAGAAAATTTTTTGTCTCTGTGGGGTGGCACACATCTGTCTCTGGGAGGCTGAGGCAGGAGGATCACAAGATTGAGCCCAGCCTAGGCAATTTAGCAACTTAGAGAGTTTTGAAACAAAACATTTAAAGGGGCTGGGGATGTAGTAAGTTGTGACAGCCCTGGGTTCTGTTCCCACTACCACACAAAGGGGAAAAAAAGAAAGAACATTTTAGAAAAGACTATCTTGCTCCTTATCCAAAAAAGGATACGAATAAACTACAGTCACCATTCAGGGGTGGCTTAGGCGGGTGTCACCTCTCTTCCGTTTCAGATCCCTTTTCCTCAGCTTGGGGCACCGTTCTGTCCCGTGGCTAGCAGCTTTCTGGTGGCAGGGCCACTTTGCCCCCACCCCTCGGATCTCCACAAGCCCGGCTAAGCGAGCCCTCCATCCCCGGGAACTTGGGAGCAGAGCCGGGGGCCCTGGCCCTGCGCCCCTGCGGGCTGGGCTCCCACCCTCGCTCCTGCACCGGTCCAGGCCCCAGACTTACTTGATCTGCGTCGCCTCCAAGAGCGGCAGGCAGAGCAGGACCACTACCATCCACTTCATGATGCCGGTTCCCAGACGGTCAGAGAAACCACCCGAATCCCACAGCGACTGTGCAGTGCAGACCGAGTCCAAGTCCTTTATACCCCAGGGCCCAGCCCAGGCCCCACCCCCTGTCCTGTGCAAGCGTGACCCTGTACCTGGGGGTCCGCGGGGCGCCCGTATCAGCGGTTTCTGTGTGTCTTTCCCTCTGGAGCGTGGCCACCAATAGACTTTTCATCTTATTGACTTTCAATTCAAGCAACTGGAGGCCAGGAGGCCCAGCGATAAGAGGGAACAAAGTGGCCGTAGGCCCGAGCAGCAGAGATTGCTTTTCTTCCAGGAACTTCTCGTCCACTGTACGGAGCCATGAATTGGGCGTTTTGGGGAAAGGGCCAGACAGAGATAGGCAGAGCCAGAGAGAGGGGCGTTGGGTCATCTGACATCTGGGGACAGAGGATGCTTTGTCCTGGGCACTGTCCATGTGCTGTGGACTCTAGGCAGCATCACTGGTCCAGAGCAGCCCCCAGGGTGTCGCAACCGTAAGCATCTCCAGGTGTTGCCTGTTGTCCCCTAACAGGTACGAAGTTGTTGAGAGCAGCTGGTCCATAGGTGACACCCTCACAGGGCTGACTCAAGTCCTGGGCCCCAGCACCCCACGCTCTTGGGATGCCTGGGGATGGTGGGTACAGCAATGGTGGCGGTGAGGGCAGTGCTGATGATGACAGCAGTGGTCCTGCTGCCCCCTGAGGGGTACAGCTGGTGGGAAGACGGCAGAGGGCAGAGGCTGAAGTCAGAGGTTTGGGGGCAGCTTTGGAGACTTCCGAGGTCAAACGGGGTATTGGGGTGATCCCTGTTCCAACCCAGCCCACATGCAACACACACAGTCAGCCACGCTGGCTTCAGTTAGGCCTGGAGCAGAGGCCTGAAGAGACACTGTCACCTCGCCTCCTTCTCCCCCTCCTCCTCCCCAGATCCCTCCCCACCCTGCCACCCATGCCTGGGGTGACCTGGAGCGGGGGCCACCAACTTGGCCAGCAACGTCTCCATTTTGGGGGTAGTAGAAAAAGTGTCCCGCCAGCACCTTGTGTGCCATCTTATGCCCACATCCAGATTTATCATTCCCTCGGGCCCCAGGCAGAGAGCCAGGACCAGACCTGCCAGCCACCTCGCTCCTCTGGCCAGTGGGGGATTTTCCACTCTGGCCACGCTGCCCCTGTCCAGCCAGGGCACTGGAGCCTCCTGGGCCCTAGGATGGGCAGGGAGGGAGGATCTAAAGTTGCCTGGGCTTGACATGGTGAGAGAGGTCCCTGCCTGTCAGGTCTCTGCTGTCCCCAGAAACACAGTGAAGTCTGGGGATGGGGGAGAGGTAGAAGGTGTCTTCCTGGGAGTGGGGGACCCCAGATTGGAATAGCAAGAAAAAGAAAATTACATAATTCTTGGAATCTTCCACAGAACCCATAAGTCATGGGACTTCTAGGGGCCAGGTTAGCTGTCCCCAGACCCACGTCCCGCCCTGCCCCAGCCCTTGCCCACCTGACCTGACCTTCTAACAACTCGAGCAGGTTCCTCAGAGACCCCAGACTTCCCAAGTTCTCTCCCACTGTCCCTACCCCTCTCCCCCACATATCTAGGACACCCGCTTTCCTACTTGTCAAGAATCTGAAGAGCCTGGGGAACCTTGGAAGTCATCCAGGGCCACCTACTACCTGATATAGGAGTTCCCTGAAGCCTAGCTGTCTGGCTTTCATCCAAGGTCATCTTCTCCTCCGACACAGACACCGGGCCTCACACTGTTCAGTTGCTTCCCTGGGGTATTTGCTTCCTCCTTGGACCACAACCCCAGGGGACACAGACCAAGGTTCTGTACCCCTATGCCTGGCCTTGAGCTTCAGAAATCATGAGTGGCCGATGGAGCCCTTCGGGCTCTCAGAGGGGGCCTGGCTGTACCCCCACCCCATTATGCCAGCCCTCGGATTTCCACCCTGTATCACAAGGGACCTCTTGGGAGACCCCTGACAGGAAGGACCTCAGGCTCTGTCTCATTCTCTCTGAGCTTCACCTTCGCGGAGACTCGAAGGCTCCTGGGAGCAAGTGGATAAATCCAAGCGTATCTAGGATACACTTTAGTTGGTCTCTTCAGCATTTCCATGCTCACCTTGCACCACTAGCCTGTGCTGGCGCCTTGCTTTGTCCCGGGGGACAAGGTCCTCCATTGTCTATGTCTTTATCCAGGCCACACCCACTATCTGAAGGACCTTTCCAAGCATGTTCACCCCAGACCACACCACTGCCCTCCAGTGTGGAGAACTCTGACCTTCTTCCCTTAATGGTATTGTATATCTCTATCCCAGTGATTTGCCCAAGATCCTACAACTTATAATTTAAAGAAGAGATGTCTTCTTGATCTTTAAATAGCACAAAGACTTCTTTCAGAGGGTTCACAGAGTGACACTGGGAAGTGGAACTGACAGCAGCATAGCACATTACTCCACTCATGGCAGACATCACTAGTTTATCCTGTCACTCTTTCCTACCTTCCACCCATGGCAGACATAACTAATCTATCTTGTTGCTCTTTCCCACCCTCCACTCATGGCACACAGACATCACAAGTCTATTCTGTCAATCTTTCCCACAATGCTCAAATGGGGCTCTGGAATCTGTCCCAACCCAGCACCATTTACAGCCTTCCCCAGTCCATGAGGAAATGGTCATCTCTCATTTCTTCAGTGTAGGATTTTTTAAAATTTCTGGATGCTAAATTTTATTTAAAATTCTAAAGTCAGGCATGATGGCACACTCCTGTTATCCCACCATTTGGGAGGCTGAGGCAGGAAGATCACTGCAAGTTTGAGGCCAGCCTGGGCTCCATAGTAAGTTCAACAACACACTGTAATATATGATGAAACCCTGTCTCAAGAAAACAATGACCAGACATGGTGGTGCATGCTTATAATCCCAGCACTGAGGAGGCTGAGGCAGGAAGATTGCCTTGAGTTCGAGGCCAATTTGCACTACAAAGTGAGCTCAAAGACAGCCTGAACTATGTAGTGAGACCCTGTTTCAAAAAGACCAAAAAAAAAAAAAAATCTATACAGATTGCATTTCAAAAAAATCAAGGTGGGGTTGGGTTGGGAATGTAACTCAGTGGTAGAGTGTTTGCCTAGCATGTGTGAGGTCCCAGGTTTGATCTCCAGTACTACAAAAAAAAAAAAAAAAAAATCAATGCAAACTTGAAAGCATAGCTGTTTGCACTTCCCAAATTATCTTCCAGCCGGTACCATACGCACTTCGATTTTAAGGTAACCGTGACCTATGTGTAAATGCAACTTCTGTTCTGCTCTTATCGTGTGAAGTACGGTGCACACACTTTTCCATGCATTAAGATAGGCGCCTTCTTATCACGGTCCAGGTTATGTGGGGAGCCATCATCTTGGTATCTAGGTCTACTTGGCCCGATTCATTTGGGTTATTTCCAGTTTCTCACCGCTATCAGTAGCACCAGGGCTCAAAAATGAAAACTCACCTCAAGGAGCAGAGTAGCACCCCTCCCGTGACCAGGATGGTGGGCAGAGCACTTTCCGAGGAATCCTGGGCAGGGGGTCTCTTGCAGGAGGTGTGAGATGGGGCCAGCAAGTGTGTGCTTTCTGTGTGTTCTAAGCCCTGAGCGCGTCAGCTCTGGTGACAAGTACTCCATGAACCTGAAGTCTTTGGCAGGTGTCATTAGGAATCTTTAGTTATGGTTTCAGCTATTTTTTTCTGAGCCAGGGTCTTGCTATGTAGCCCAAGCTGGCCTCCAACTCATGGCAACCCTCCTGCCTCAGCTTCCCGAGTGCTGGGATTACAGATGCGCACTACCACACCTGGCTGAGATTTACTTTTACAAATTCAAGAGATTATGCTGGGTTTTTTTTTTTTAAAGTTTGACACATGATCTGGGGATTGTGTTTCCTGATCTTTGTTAGTTTCCTTCTCTTCATTTTTGGAGTCATTCTGTCTTTTAATTTCTCAGGGAAAGATATGGGCGTGTTTTGTCACTTTCTTCCTTTCTGATAGATGTACTTGGTGTTGAAAAGATAAATAAAATAAACAAACAAATAAGTAAATAAATGTTGACCTAACTGTAGACTTCCAGAGAAGTCTCATAGTACAGAGGCTAACGTCTCAAATAACCATGGGAAATGGTCAAACCCAGGAAATCAACCTTGACACTGTTAAGAGACCCACAAACTTCACTTAAATGTCACCAACTGCCACACTAATGCCCTTTCTTCTGGTCCAGGGTCCGAGCAAGGCTCTCACATTGCATTTAGCTTTCATTCCCATTTCTTCCCCTCTGAGACCACTCCTTATTTCCATGGCCTTGCTTTTTTTTATTTTTGATAGTGGGGATTGAACCCAGCACCTTTGCACTGAACTACATCTTCAACCCTTTTATTTCTTTTGAGACAGAGCCTCCCTAAATTGTTAAGCTGCTCAGACTGAGCTTCAGCTTGCAACCTTCCCGCCTCAGCCTCCCAGAGTCCTGGGATACAGGCGTGCACCACCAAGCCTAGAATTCCGTTTTTTTTTTAAAGTATTTTGAGAGAGTGCCTACCCATGTAGTTCAGCAGGCCTGGACTGACTATGTAGTCCAGGCTGGCCTCGAACTCCTGGCAATCCTCCTGCCTCAGTTTCCAGAGTGCTGGGGTTACAGGTGTGCACCACCACACCCAGCTAACATTTCTACTTCTAAACCATCCTAGCCAGTTACTTTGTAGCCTGCAGCTGACTTCATTCATGCTGATGTTGTCACGTGGCCAGCGAGCCAGCGTGCATCCTGGGGAGCAGTATGCAGAGGCGAGGTGCCTGTCTCAGTGCCCTGGTCAGCACGTAGCACCGTGGATGCGTTTTATTACCAGTGATCTAACCTGGATCCCTCGGTTAAGGTGAGGCCCACCAGGTTCCCGTTGTCGTTGGTAACTAGTCAGTATCTTCCTGGACCATCGATTGGGATTGTGCGGGTCCCTGGTTCTTGTCCTTCTGCCCACTGATTTCAACACTGCAATGTGTCTGCGGGCAG